ATTTTAACTTGTATATCCCTGGTGAACAGTAAAGGTGAGTAGATGTCCGTGTCTATCTTACGTACTCTCCTGAAGAATTAAATAGTGAAAATTTAAAACGTGTCCCCAAAACACTAGGAATAGATTCAAAGCTACATAGAAACTAACCTTTTGAAAGTTAGTCTCTTTCCTGCATCTGTTTAAGGATGTATGTCTGCACAAAGCCTTAGAGTGCGGTTGGAGGAAAACTTGAAGCGTACGAAGAGCAAGCAGGCGGTTCCTACAGAGAGTAAGATAAAGAGCCCGAAGAAAATGATAGGCAGATTGTCAGGAGGTGTGGATGTTTCTATCCTGGGGGTGATTTCTAAAGTTAGTGTGCTGTTTCCAAGGACTGCACATATAAAAGTCTCCAGTATTAGAGGACAGTGGATGCCTCCTTCTAGACCACCAAAACAGGCGTTGCTGATTATCTTAGTGTTGGTCCAGCTGTTCTGAGAAGATTTCTACTTGAGTTCTGTTGACGATGCTGAGATCTGACACCCACTAATGTTTCTGTTCCATTCTCGGTGGTTCTGTTCAGTGGTACCCATGCCATCTGCTTACTTTCCAGACACTTTATTTTTCATGGTTTCTTAGTCAATATCAGCCTCTATAGTCTCTAGTTTGGATTATGATTACTGTGAATCGGGCAATGTACTTAAAGACCCATGTCCTGCCCAGAGTCCTTACCTCTAGAAAGTGGACTGGAGTGTTTAGATGCCATAAGTACAACAGACTTCCACCTTCCAACAAATGGAACAGTGTACTTGCCATGAATTGCTTTGAGTTTTCCTTGCAGTGTTGTGCACATTATATTAGTATTTCAGTACCAACTTAGTGGGTTTCTCTTCATTGTCATTGCTACTTTCATCTGTATGATCGTGTTTACTGCTTGGTTATCTTCTCTTCTAAGTGAAGAATGTCTCCTTATATAGATCTAACAGGAAGTATTTACTGCAGCATGAACAATAAAATCCCAGAGACAGATATTGGGGTTAAAGCTGAAGATCAGAAAAGCAAAACAGCCAGCCCCTAGAGAGTTCTCACCTCTACCAATGCACAGACCAAAGGGGCGATCCTGTCCTCAGACCACACTGCTCCTGTTGCCTCCTGCTTTATATTCCTCCCTAGGGATGGGATTAAAGGCGTGTCATCCCAAGTACTGGGATCAAAGGTGTGAGCTCTGTTTCTCCTAGACAAGAGTGGCCTTGAACTCAGAGAGATCCATCTGCCTCTGTCTCCCAAGTCCTGGGATTAAAGGCGTCGTGCCCTGCCTCTATGACTGTGGCTAGCTTTGCACTCTGATCTTTAGGCAAGCTTTATCTGTTACATCATAAACAAAATATCACCACAATTTACCTGATAAAATCACGTTTGATGACATTTAGATAGATGATACCTTGGGAAGAGAATCAGGTACTGGTAGGTTACACAGCTCCTGCAAACTGAGTTGAGCCTCCCATCATCGCAAAGTTACCATGCTTTCACCAGACATGACTGTTGCATTTGGGAGAGAGAACAGTGTGCCGTGACTGTGTAATGGGACCACTCTCTGTATTCCCCTGCTTTAAATTCACCAGTCATAAAAGGGAAGCGCGCACTAGCTTGGCGTTTGATCTTTACCACATACATTGGACGTCACAATCAATCGCTTTCAGGATTTTCTTTGAAATAGCATAAAGGTTCCTATGTGCCAGATTTCATAAGGATCACATGATAAGGTCAAGAAACACAAATTCCAAGGCAGAATTTATATGCCCAGTTCACATATGACAGTAATACTATGTAACCATATGTTGAATATAATATACTGTATGTAAATGCTATTCTTGAAACCAAGCCAATCAATAAAGCCTAAAATAAATAATGCTTTAATAGCACATTTCACATAGGCTGGAAATGGGATAGATGGGCTCCATGGCAAGGACATCTCTATAAAAAACAGCACTCAAAGGACTTTAAGACAGAATAAAGCAATGGTGAAACCGAAGAAAAACTGGATATTGAAAAGCCCATTTTAAAGCCCATTATGTTATATGCCAACATACAGCAGTCATTTTTATTTAAAGAGCTATCTAAATACAAAAAAAAAAAACTATAGTTTTCCAAGCCTTTAAAAGCAAGCTCTGTGGTATTACCAGTATCCAAAATGTATTGTCAAAGGATATGCAATGCTAAACAGAAAAAATTGAAATGCATAATGTAAAATGGAAACTGTCCCAGTGGAAAGAGTCTGAAGCTGCAGTCATAATTAGAACTAGTGAAAAGCTGACAAACTTTATCCTCACGGGATGAAGGGTTTGGGGAAGGCTACTGGCGGCAACTTCAAAAGCCCAGCCATAAAAAGTGATTGTGATGTCAGGGAAACTCTGAAACAGATGAAATTAACCCCTGAGCAGTCCTGCCCACTGCGTTTAACCCCTGATCAGTCTTATCCACAACACCTATTGAACAGGTAGGAGCTTTGTTTTTCTAGCTGACAGGCTTGCCATTTTTCCCTTTGTTTCCAGCATTGTGTGTGAAGTAGGATCCAGTCCTCAGCGTTCAGTCTTTGCCTTCACAGACACTGTGACTTAAAACTTGAAATTATTGTGGTTATGTGTTATCATCCCCCCCCGTATACTTATCTTTTTTGATACACACACACACTCTCTCTCACACACACACACACAGACCATATTTTTGCAAATAAAGGAAATAATGAAGTTTGCATTAAACAGTTTAAACCATGCTTTGATCTTACTTGTCTGCTCAGATTCATGCATCACACCGAGATGCTTGTGGGTTCATCAGTGTTTTGATTTTTTATTTTTTCACTTTTGTCACTTAGATCCTGGGAAGACTCTGCCAGAAGCCCTTGACTATAACACTGTGTGGTTACAGACGGTGCCTGGAGAAACAGACTGTAAAAGTGGAATTCCACCTTCCCTTGTCACGCTACAAATTAAGGACTTCCTTAATGGACCAGGTATGGAAATCATAATCAAGCCTACTTTCTTTCCAGAGCGAAGACGGACACACGCATACCAGGTCTGGCAGTAAGTTTGACTCTCTTACCAGACAAGGAATAGTTGGCTTGTTTTCCAGTGGTGCGCTCT